CACTCGAAATCAGCACAAAGATCTTTTTATACTCTTTAATGCTAAAATAAATTCATCTGTGAAGGCTATTATTGCTTCGGTGCAGCCGAAGTAAACGTTTTTGTTTTTTTGTCATTAGCTTACATCTGTTTATTTTAATTTCTTAACCCAAGATACAATTTTCAATAATCTTAAATTCCTCAATATATTTTTATCCATTTATAGCTACGCATTTATATTTAATTATTATACGCCATATATATGGTATATTCAATTAGTTTTACCTCTTTTTGCTCCTCCATTTCACCGTTTCCACTTGCTCTCTCTTCTTCATAAATCATAAATTTATTTCTCATTACATAATACTCCACTCAACTTAGTTTTGCGCTTAATTTGCATTGAAACTCCACGCTCGCTAATCAAGGCTTTGCCGCTATTTCACATGCGGCTATATTTAGTACGCAAGGCGCACTTGGCCGTCGTGGCGTGTAGCAGCAGTGGTAGGGAAGGATGTGCGCCCGGATATGTGGACGTGTCTAACAATCAGTGAATTTCCGGCATTTTATTTCTTAATTACGCGCGAACGCACTCGAACACAGAGCCAGCTAACACCAGCATCAGGAGAGGCATAATCTTGGCAACAGCTCATTTGTAAACACACACACAAGCGAATACTTATCAGCTCGGGCACAAATTGGCATTTGTAAAATATGCCAGTTACTTTGCATATGCACACATACATACATATAATACATATCTACATATGTGTAGCTAGAACTACGCCTATCGCTGTTTATACTCCACAAACGACGTCCACATCTATAAATTATACGATCTTATAACTATAAAGCGCCTATCTGCATCCAATCGCGCCAAACGACCATTGACAGCTGCAGAGCAACGTTACGGCGGAGTAGCTGGGCTGCGGCTGAGCAGCGATCAAAGTTGGCAAGTCGCATCCGCAATGGCGGTTGAACTAACTCATTTAAGCGACGTCTGTGTGTGTGAGTGTGTGTGTCTGTTATCACAATGCTAGGCGAATTCTTAAACAAATGGCATTTGGTGATGAAGAAGCTCCATGCAACAAACCTCCATGCAACTAGCGGCACATGATTGTATGCGTAGCAGTGAACACACACACACACACCATCAAACAATCAAGTCGACAGCGCGCTTGGCAAATTAAGTCAACGACTTAGCGAGGCATGCAACAAGCGGCATACGGCATGCGGCATGCAACATTCGTCCACAGTGATTAGACTGTTACATGTCCACTTTAGTTGCTGTCTTTTCGATATTACTACTGCGTTTACCTACTGCCAGCATCTTCAGCTATACACACTGTCGCTCTATTTAATTGAATTTCTTTATTTTACTCTCATTCTTATTCTTTCTGTATATTTTTTGTTTTTGTTTTTGTCGTTGGTTTATTCATTTTTTCTGTATCTGCTACACTTGGCCGCCAACATAATTGCGGTCGCGCTGCACTCTAACGATCGATGCCACTATCGCTGCCGCGGCGCGCTGCTTCGCGTTGCATCGGCATCAGCATCGGCCTCATCTTCAACATCGGCATCAGTGCAGCAACATTAACTGCATATACTCTGCTCTTATTGCTCTCCTTTCTGTCTCCATTTGGCTGGTTCATTGTTCGCTGCGGTATGGCTGTGCCTCTGACTGGCCATTCGTCAGTACGCCTGCGTATTTCCAATCACTGAGTGGGGACATTGCTTAACAAAAGTGATTAAATACCTTACTGTGCTCCGCGTGGGTTTTGGTTGTAGCGAATTGTTTCGGTATTTTCGTTTCTTTATCGGCGGATTTTGATTGTTCAATAATATTTTAATGCTTTTTTTTTTTTGATTTTCTCACATTTGGTATTTTTGGAATATTCGTTTACTTAGTTTTTCTTCAAAACAAATTGGCAAATAATTATATTATGCTACAAGCAGCTGGTTTACCCGATCTCATCTATCAATAAATAAGTAATTTTTTACTTAAAAAAGAAGCCAAAGAATTCATAAAGTCTGTACTCGTATATGGTATACAGGTCGTTCTAATGACTATCGGGTCTACTTAACTGAAATGGACCCAGGTTAATAGCTCACCAAAAGATACTACCTCAGCAGCAATTCTTGAAATTTTTAAGAGGGTTTAATGTTAAAACAAAAAGTTTTTTTTTTTTTTTTTTTGTGATAACAATACCCTGTTCGACACATTGTGCTGGTAGCTGGGAAATAAAAATCTGGGTGTCTGTGAAAAAATTTACGCTGAACAGGGTATACTTAGTTTGCTACGATGTTTGCAATAGACAGAAAGAAACGTCAGACATCTAAGATGTACATATATAAATGATCCGAAATCAGTCATTTTGGTCATGTCAGTTTGTCTGTGCGTCTGTATATACGTGAACAACACTCTCAGTTTTCAAGATATCGATCTGAAATTTTGCTCTTGTCTCCCCAAGGAATTGCTTATTTTCCGGAACCAATATCGGACAACTCTGGCATATAGCTGCTATACAAACTGGCCGATGAAATCAGGTTCTTGTATGGAAATCTTTTTTGTTTGACAAATTTAATTTGGCATAGATTATTTTCCAAGGAAGGATGCTATAATCTCCAAATGAATTGTTCAGATCGCACCACTATAGCATGTAACTGCTATACAAACTAACCGATCAAACACAAGAAAAATATCGTTTTATACCCTTTTATGCCATAAAAAATGCACCTGTGGGGGTGTTATGGCTTCGGTGCACCCCCAGTTAACGTTTTTCATATTTCTTATGATTTCAAAATTTTTACATATATAAATTGTAGAGTATTTTTGTCGCTAATGCTTCTTGTTCGGCAACGTACTGTAAGTTCCCAATGCTTTAAAATCGAATTTTAAAAGTATTTCAAATTCATACAAGACATTTACATTGTCTATAAAATTGTCTACGCAGTTTAAAAACTCAAAACCCTGTCATATATGCATATATGCATATGTAGAGAATTTATTTTATATCCTTCCTCCAGGCACTGCAGTCAGTGCAAATCCTCCAACATTATCCCACAATAAATGTCGCCAGCGTGGCATTTGCATAATTGGTTGCTGCAGCCAATCAAGCCATTATCGTTTGTACCCTTCAGCATGCAGCAATCTATATGTATAAGCATGTACTGAGTTCTCTCCTCTTCAGGTCTGCTACTTTGCTGATGTGATTTCTTTTATTTTTCATTAAAAAGTTTTTTTTTTATTAAGACATTTTCTACAATTTGTGGCTGGCACAAAATTGCACATTTATTGCGGCACAACGGCTCGCAGGTATTCTCAGCTGTCCGAACCCCAGCATGCAGGTTCTTATAAGCTTTATATATATATTTATATATATACGTATGTGTACAAATACTAATCAATTGTATTAGCGAGCGTCACTACACGCTGATGGCTTCATTAGTTTGATGCATTGCATTGGCTGACAAAGTTCATCAGCGGGTCATTTATTAAGCATTTGTGTCAACACAACTCTCTGTGCTGTATGTAGCGGCTTAGATACGTTTGTGCATACCAGCTCATATGTGGATGTGTGGGTATGGGGAGCGCTTTAGATACTCTGCTGTCAACACTCTACAATTAAGTGGCTCCATAGATCATATTGAACAGCATCAAGGTTGCTGAGTTGTTTCTGCTGTTTTTGTTATTGTTTTTGTTGCTACTAAAGTTAGCCGCTATACGATTGCGCTTGACTATGGATTTATTTGCCGCATAAAGCGAAGCATAAATCAAGCTAAGCATTGTCAACGCAGTAATTTTTCTTGCCACTACACACACATGTATATAGTATACGGTATCTTTTTAGGCGCGTGCGTTTGCAGCAGCACAACAACAATGGTGGAGAAACGCCAGCTTGTACTTCTAGTTGTGGTTTTTTTTTTTTTTTTGTAATTTCTGTATTGTATTTGCTACCTTTTCGATTTGCACTGTCACTGGTTATTGTTGCCGTCACTCTACTACCAGCAGCCCACCCATGCAGCCAACAGTACGGCATTAACAGCGCGCTGTCAAATAACTGTTACCGCTGCTGTCTAAAACTTAGAGTATTCTACCGCATTAGTCTCCCATTTCTACACAGACAACACACACACACTCACACATACACATCTGCATATATTTGGCTTATTTCGTGTTTAAAATTTTTCAGCGCTGTTATATTGTTCATTACTTCTAACTACTTAAAATCCAATTTTTTATATTTTTCAACACACTTACCACACATTATTTTATTATGACCCCGCCAAGCCGCTTGAGGAAAAAATCAATTAACTGCAACACACACACTGCCACTAATGAAATGTGCGCTCGACAATAATTCAATCACATATGCATGACTAGCTGACAGTGATATTATATTAACAACAATAAAATCACCAAATCGCAAACAACAAGAGCAATCAAGAAGCAATCATAAAATATACTTTAACCAAAAGCTAACGAGAGTGTGTGCAAGAAATATCTGCAAAAAAAAGTTGATGAAAAAATAAAAATAAACTGAATTCGAGCAAACAACCAACGAACTCAGCGCAAAAGACTTAAGCAACGAACGTGACTGCGCGCCGACACTTTGAAGGTCAAACAATCACATTTTTTCAATTTTTTTTTTTTTAATTTTTCACGTTGTAAAGTGTTTATTATTGGTTTTCTCTCTTTATTCGAACTTCTTATTACGCTTTGTTTCGTTTTATTCGCATGTGTTATGTAAGTAAGTCTTGTTAAAAGTCTGTATTGGCTCTAATTGCGCGCTGGGACACATTGTCACTTAATTGGTATAAAAACGCCGACCTCGTTTGGCCTTTGTGGCGTAAACATACGCGCATATTTGGTGTGTATATGTGTCTGTGTATAAGCCCAATGGACTTCTTATGTACCAAATGACACATATTTTTGTTTCTGTATGACATAACTATTTAATTTCATTGATCATAATACGTTTTCTTCATATATTTAATTTAAATTCTTTTGCTTTACACTTACAGGGTGCTGAGCGCAAAACACGTGATGAGGAGCGACGCGCTGCTAAACGTAAAATGACCGCCACAGGACGCAAGAAGCTCGATGAGCTGTATCATCCAGTTACTGATCGTTCGGAATTCTATACAATGCAGGATTTGCAAAAGCCACCGGTACTATTCTCACCCGCCGATGACATGGAAAAGGTGAGTAATATGAAATTTATGAAAGTGATATAGTAATTAATAGCAGCATTACTCTAAACTACTATTGGTGGCATAAAGGTAAAGTAAACAATGCGTAGCATATTTTCTGGAGCAATTCTAATTAATATCAACCACTAATTTAGCAAAATAATAAAGTAAAACTGTGTAGCATACATTTGGGAGTTACACATAGAATTTCGACTATCTGAACTTTTTCTTAATATTTGCTTCTAAAATACAAAAACAAAATTTATTTTAGGGCTATATTTTTACTGTTTTATATATATGTTTTTTATATTACTTGTAATATAATTTATTTTATAATCAAATTTATTTTACTTTCCTTTACAGAGCTTCTATGGCCATGAGACTGATTCACTGACCGGCGCACCAGATCTCAAAGGCACATCACCATTCTTGTTGCATGGCCAAAAAGTGGCGGCGCCAACACTCAAATTCCACAATCATTTTCCGCCCGACGTGCAGACGTGAGTATATGTAAAAATCGTTACGCTTTTATATGCTCGTATTTGAGCGTGAGCGTGAGCGGTGCGAATAATGTCAAATGCCCACAAATAGGAAAAAATTGAATATTGATTCTTGCAAAACATTAAAGCAGCGCAAAATTTTTCTTGTAAACTGTATGCCCTAAACCCTTGATTTGATCATTCGTAGCTTAATACTTTTATATTCATACTAACTGAAAAACGTTTACAGGGTGTTTTTTCTGCACTTCAAACTTTCGTAAAGCATGCTTTAACTTGCATGTAGTAAGCTCAAAAGTTGTATACGAAAAAACACTCTTTAAAACATATATGTATTGCTTTAATTTAGATATGTTTAATTTATATTCACATTCACCTTTGCCTTCTTCTTACAGCGACAAGAAGGACCACCTGCTGGATCAAGGTCTAGTACCCAGTGCCATGGGCGATTTTGTGCCACCAATGAAGCGCGGACGCATGACACCGCCCACCAGTGAACGCGTTATGCTGTTCGTGCGACAAGAGAACGAAGAGATCTATACGCCGCTGCATGTGGTGCCGCCCACCACTATTGGCCTCTTGAATGCGGTAAGTTTACATGTTGTAAGCACTTGCAAATCTTTGTTTACGAACTACCTCACTCCTCACCATCTCCCAACCAAAAGTTATCTACTTATTATAGTACTAGACATTTGGTATTAGCATTGTTTCATTAATTTATTTTAGTTACAACACAAAAACTCATTTTAAACTAAATTTATTTAAAAAACTACTGCTAACAGGGTAATCCAATATATATATATATATATAAAACAACAACAACATAATGGTCAAGAAGATGAAAAAGCACAATTATGATTATTTTCTAATACAAATTTATTGTTGAGGAAAAGGTAACTGTTTTAAGGCAGTTAATATTTAAATCGAAAACAAACTATATTTTATCTTTTTTGTTTTAACATATTTTGGATTTTTTTAAATCTGGAGATTTAATTTTTTATATTTGGATATTCTGATATTAAATACAAAAAAATCAGCTTTTATAGTTAGATTTCTTGAGGTGCGAAATGACAAAATATTTCTAATATTTAATTTAAATCTGGAAAATAAAAGTTTTAATATCCGAAGATTTTTGTGGGCGTTGTTTTTAGAGTATTTTCGACCCAAAAATTTAAACATTTTTTTTTTTTTAATTTTAAAAATTTAATACTCTATTTTTTTTTATATTAATTTTATAATTTTTATAAAATTTCATTAATTGCTTCACCAAAGCTAATATATTTAAGTTTTTATTTTAATTCACTCTTAAATTAAAAATACTAAATTTATTGAGAATATTGAAAATATTTTAGTTTCCCCCCAAAAATAGGAATATAGATCAATAAAGCTGGTAGTTCAATTAATCAATCAAATTAATACTAGCTTTCGTAGCTTTATGCTTGAACGTTTGTGAAAATTCCATTTTTCAATTATTTTTTTATGGTTTACTTTGGCTCTGCTAATCAACTAGCTAATAATAAAAGAATAACTACAAAATAATAATTAATTATTATTAATCATTCATAAACGTCATTCAATGTTAACTTAATCATAAAAACAACAAATAAATAGTAGCTGCAATATGAAATTAATGCACAAACACACCCACCCAACACTTTATGGTATAATAAGAAATACAATAACAACAACAATCACAACAAAAAACGAAAAATGCAAATCTATAGCAATTAATCATTGCAATCAAAGCATCACCACAATCAAACCAACAATAACAACAACAACAACAACACCACAAGTAAACACCTAACGACCAACAAATAGTAAATTGTTGAAATTAAAACCACAACTACAACAACAATAACACAACAGTGTCTACATATTGTTGTTTAATTAATAATTTGTAATTATCGGCTGCAACAGCAGTTATAACAGAAAGCGTAAAAAAATCGCTAAATAAAAATAAACAACAACACTAAGCTGATAATAATCTATTTGCTCGCTCAATAAATATGATTTTTTTGTACACAACAGACACACACACACAAACACACAGCGCACACGCGCAACAATAGTTTGCATACCGAGTAGTTCGTTTGAAGAACATTTGGTCGTTTTCGAAGACACTTCACTAAACTAGTTAATAAAAATGAAAATTTTATGCGAATTCCATATGCAAATGGCAACACAACAATACAAGGATCAATATATTGATCGTTGATCGACGACCGACGACGGAGGATTTCATGTTCGTATGTTTAATGACTTCTCAGAGCAAATAACTTAGCTATAAAATATTAATTAATTAATGGAAAGAGAAGAAAAGCTGGTGATTCAAAATAATGCCATTGAATATCAGTTACTTAGTTGATATTTCATACCTGTTTATATAATGCATCAAATGTCTGTGTGAGTGTGTGTGTGTGAATGGTGTATATAACTTGCAAGTATGGCGACAGCTAAGATCGATCAGTAATTCCATGTAAGTTGCATGTTTGAATGCTTCATTGTACCGCCCATTCATTACCTCATAACAATTCATGCATACAAACATCTTAGGAAGCGATAAAACACAAACAAATTACACAAAGACAGCTTTTGTTTTTAATAAATACTTTGGAGATAGCATAATATTCATATATTTAGATTTAAAGTAATTCAAAGACCACGTAGTATTATTATAAGCATAAACATACCATAAGTGTGTAAAACATACTTAAACAAAGTGAAAATGTTTCAAAAGTTAAAAAAAGTGTGTGGTATAACTAAAGTGTATGATAAAAAATTTATTTGAGATTTTGTGCAAAAAGTTAAAAACATTAGAAATATTCTTAAACAAAATCAATATGTATTTCTTCATAATGCATTGCTTTTAAATATTAAAATCACTCAAAATTTTTCAAAAGTTGTTTAATTATATGTATTTATAAATATATGTTTTAAAAATATAATAAAAAAATAAAAATTTGCACCTAAAAAAACAATTGAAATTATACTTAAATTTTCAATATTTATTTCTTGTTATTTTTTTGCAATATATATTTTGTTTTAAATACATAAAAACCCTTTAAAGTTTAGTTATTTAATTTTTATTTTTTGCACTTAAATCACCCTGTCCTATAAAAAATAAATTATTTTTCATCTAAAATAAATAAAGTTCGACATTTGGAATTATAAATCAATATTCAACGGAAGTTCACGAAATAGAATTCTGTCTCGGTAGCTTACATGCCATCACTCATTGCATACATACATACGACATCTCACGCAAACACTCTACAAAACATTATCACACATTGCCACAGTACACTGTTAAAATCTGGCCTATGAAATTACACAATGTACATAATTACAACGAGATTTCAATGTTTCCTGCTAGCTCGTTAAATATTTTCGAAAAGCTTTCATAGTAGCAAAAGCTCACAATTGGCATATCGAATAATTGCATAACTACCGAAAGGTATGCTTCAATAAAAGTATGTTTTCCAAATAGTTTGAAAATAAGTGCTTCAAATTAAAGCAAAAAGAAGTGTATACTTCTAGGCTGCATTTGAAAAAATTAGCTTGGGCGAAAGCAAATGAAATTGGTAACATTTACAAATAAAAAATAATTACACATATATTATCAAAAAAATATATAAAATCTTAAATTATTTAAAATGAGTTTTTGTTCGTTGTTTAGTAAGAGACACAGCATAAACATTGTTTGTAGTAAAATTTCAAAAAAATATTATTATTTACAATGTTTACAAAATTAGCAGTTAACATACAACAAATCAAAAGCAAAAGAAAGAAAACAAAAACAAATACAAACATCATTTTTCTCTCATTTCTCAATTACAGATTGAAAGTAAATACAAAATCTCAACAGCGAGTATAAATAATATTTATCGTACAAATAAGAAAGGGTAAGTAGACAAGAATACATACATACCTACATAGTACAACAAATAGCAAAATTTCTTTAGTGACAAACACCACGCAAAAAAAAACAAACTCAACAACCCAACAGTCATTAAATACAAAATACAAAACATACAAACCTACATACATATCTACAATGCCACAAAGCACGCATGACTTATTTGTGTAGTAAAATATAGTTTATTTAAACTTTTTGTTTTCACAAAAACAACACTCAACGAGCGAAAATTGAAGTAGCAAAATTTTTAAAAATATACACCACACCAATACACCGTCCTCAGCATCTCATTCAATGTGTTTTGCACCTTAAATAAAAACTGTATTTTATTACTTTAATTTTACCGTTAATATTGCGCGCGTAAACTTAATGATTTATGTAATTAAAAATAATTAAAAATCTAACTATATAGTTAGTATGCTAAATATATTTTATATACACATCAACGCTATTAATTTATTTTGCCATAATTTCTAATAATATAAAGTATTTGCATAATATTTTGCCATAAAAATTTAATAGTTAAATAATTGCATTTGTGGAATAGACTTCAGGCGAGGGTTTCTAGTTTCATTTCTCACATAACGATTTTACGCTCATTTAATGTAATTAACGACTAATACTAGGGTCTAACCATCAAATGATATTAATCGATGTGACAGCTGAATAATTATTTTAATAAAAAATATATATTTATTCTAATTTTACACCTCTTCGGAAATATCAGGTGCACCATACGCACTGATATTTAGAATAAGGGCTGCTTTTCCTCTGACTAATATTTAATCTAAACCAATATTTAAAATAAAAGTTTTGAAACTCAAAGCTATATTGCCTGCTCAATTTTTTTCGTCCTACTGAGAAATTTGTTCGCAAATAAGCTTTAGCTTGAAAGTGGCTTTAAAAAATTAAACACCTTAAAAATGTGGTTAAAACCTCTTATTTCGTTTATATTTGTTTTATATCAATCGGATGTTTGAAGCTTTGATTGGCAACCTTAACCATAAAGTTGTCTCATCTGGGAAAATTTTACTACTCCATTTATCGAAGGTAAATTTTCAGTGCTTCATTCAAGATAGCCATCAATAAATCATTATTGACATGTTTCTGGTGCCGTGAATTGTGAAATTTAACCACGTTTTGGCCTCTCAACTCAATACAACCTTTAATTAATTTTTTTTTATAAAAATGTTTCAACTTTGGCCCTAAAATATTTCCTAGTAAATTCGCGTTTTCTTATGTTGTCCGATTTCTGAACGAACTCTTTTCTGAAAACGGAATGAACAAATAAATTTCACAGTTCTAAACCTGTTAAAGCTTTCAAGCATTTTATATTAGTTAGTGCCACCTAGCGGTGGCTTTTCTCAAGCTTTGCTCCAATCACCTTACATAAGACTTTTGTTAATCTCGGGTTTTAATTAACGTATAAGCGTCTCCAAACGTATATAATGATTTGACAGACATTATTTTTATATAATAGAATCTAGATTTGTTTAGCTAAACTATATTAGGACTTTATAGTTCCATAATACTGCATATAAATGAAAGTTTTGAATTTTTTTGGGCTCGAGGCTGCATTTAATGAACTTTAGCCATATTTCTCAATTTCCAATTTTGTCTTCTGTTTTAGCAGATTGCTAGGTAGTTATGTTTATGTATCAATCCCGAATCGAACTCCCAATAAATGCCCAGTATCCACAAGTTAGTAACGTCCTTATCAATATATTATATAGTTAATATATAGTGTATATTCTAAAACATTTATTCCTCGATATATTTTCTAATCAAATGCATTTTTCTCTTCTATTTCTCTTTCAATTCTCAACATAGGATTACTGCGAAAATTGATGACGATATGATTTCGTATTATTGCAATGAAGATATATTTCTGCTGGAAGTGCAACAGATCGAAGATGATTTATATGACATAACATTAACGGAGTTACCCAATCATTGAGCGAATAAAGAAGTTTATATAAATATAGAATAAAATAGCTACAAAAATTGTGCATGCGATGCAATAGCAAGAGCAGCAGAGAACAAAAGCAATAGCAGCAATAAGTGAATACACACACACACACACACTCACGTATGTAAGAATAGTGGCAGCTAAGCAAAAACAAGAAGCTGCGAATTAGATAAACTCAGCACACATTGTTATTGTATTTGTTTAAAGAAGCTGATGTGTTAAGTGTTTTTTTATAAAGATGATGACAACAACAATAACATTGACAGAAATGCACAAAACAATGGACACAATATATATTATGGTAGTTAAGCAATTACAAACGAAACAAAAACAACAAAAAGCAACAAAAAAAAGGAAGCACAAATCATACAAGAGCATATATACTCTTAAATAAGTTTTTTCATGCTAATATTATTAACTAAGTATAACGGAAAATTCAACAGAGGAAGGCGAAATAAAAATGTAAGAGCTAATACATTTACAAAAACAAAGTAGTCGAAAGCAAAAAAAAGAGAGAGTATATAAACAATAATAAATAATGTTAAGTGTTAGCTTCCGAGTGAAGCAAAGCAACACTGAGAAATTTGCAAATTGGCTAAATATTAGTAAAAATGTATAAGATAAAAAGTGGTAGATGCGGCAAATGGCAAAAAATTGCAAAGACAATTATAATTTATCTCCTTTTTATTATTTACTTACTTTAACTGAATAGTGTGCGTAGAAATCTAAATGTGTTTATATTTTTATTAAGTAAATAGTTTAACTTAAGTACACACACGCTTAATTGAGATTCGAATATATGCTTTTTACTTTTTCACAAAAAATCAGAAAAAAAAAATTAATTAATTAATGCATTTCACGTAAAGGAAATTCAACAAAATTCGCTGATTTTTTTCAAAATATTTTTCCCATGGTATACTTTAGAGCCATTTTGTAAAGAATTAGCTAAATTTACAGCAACAAATTCTCAAAATTATTATTCGAACAGTCATTGTTGCGCCGCCACATCGCTTCCAAGTTAATAAGTTTTGTAATCCGTTAAGTAAGCAATAGATAAGAAATAGTTTAACTAAGTAAACACAATACGTAGGCATGCGACAGGATATGCAAAAAAATGTGTAAGTATGTATGTATTTAACGTAACAAATAAAATGCGCCATAAAGCTTTCACACATCTCAAAGCTTTCACCACATGAAAGCTTGCCGCAAGAGCTTTACATACTTATTTTGTTCATCTGCGTATGCAATACAACATTCCAGTGCTTTTCAATCGCCTTAGTTAAATGCGAACGTTACATTAAGAAAGATGTTAGAACAAAAAATGCATAATTATAAATATCTCTAAACTGTCTCTAGCAGTAATAGATTCGTGAAACAGTTTGAACAAACGCTCAAGGCATTAAGTTAAAAGATTTCACTTTTTGTATATTTTTGCTTTTCTGTACTCAACTCAACGTAGTACTTAAAGTTTTTTCTAATTTTGTATACCTACATAAGTTTTAGTTTTACCTAAATAAGTTACTTTAAATTTTACTCAAACAATGTTTTTTATTATATAATTAATATTATTATTATTTTTATTACTATTATCAATTGCTATATAATTTTTGATAAATAAAATTCGAACAAAATTCGATCTGTTGAACAAAAATCTTAAAGAATTTTCTTATAAAAAAATGATTAAACAAAAATTGTTGGTGTTAAAGAAAGCTTTTATAGTTTTCCCTAATGCGTAATACTTCTCAAGTAAACCTCTTTAAACACTTTTCTCTTTTGGAAAATATTTATTGCACTTTGATCAGTTTTTGTGAAAGTTTTGAAAATCATTGGCATAAAGCTTCACTAAAATATTCGCCGTTTGAAAAATTTAAATTCTGATGGAAAGTTTCAGTGAAAGTTTGAATACAGTAAGCTTAAAAATAAACAAACTTTAAACAAATTATAAACAATTATCTAGAAAAAAGAATTTAAAATCAAGGAAAGTTGATAAATTAAATCTAATAATAATTTCAAATTAGATGTCTGTGATTCTATAATTTCACAAAAGCTTTCGAATATAATAGTAATCGTAGTTTGGAAAAAAGTTTGCAATAAAGAAAATTAAGCTTTAGTTACTCCATTAAATGTTTATAACTTTCATAAATTTAGAAATCAACGAAAAGTCACTTCAACCGAAAACCCTTTGGGTGAAAAATGCATGAAAATATTCATTTGAAGTTTTACTCAAATATGCTGAAAAAGCTTGGCAATAAAAAAATTAGGTACAAACTTTTTTATGAAAGGCTTACAACGGAAGATTTTGTCGCCTTACCGCTTTCGAAAATCATATATACGTACAATTTTTAAGCTTTTACGTCAAGCTTTCACTTTGCCAGCAAAGCTTTGCAAATCATTAATTATTAAATCATTAAACTTTTGTCAAAGCAAATAAGTATAACGAAATCAATTGCAATAACTAATTTTTAAATACTTAAGAAAGCAGAACATTCTTATATTAAACGCGGATAAAATCAGAAGAAAGGATTAATGTTTATTAAAAAACAAGAAAATTAATTTAAGAAAACTGTGCATTTTTTGTTAAAAACATGAAAATATATAACTTAGAAAAGCACAATAGGCGTTGTAAGCGAAGCACAAAAAGCTCAAATGTATTCAATTTTATATGCAAATTATTAATTTAACACAGTTCTTAAAGCATGTGATGCCAGAAAGACAAAATTAAGTGAACACAAAATTATCTAAATTAGAAGATACCACCAATTGAACAATGAATAGGAAATTTAGTATAAAAGAAAAATTTTTATAAAATATTAGAAGCTTTAAACCACAGAATTTCTGTTTTTATTTTTTAATTTCAATAAAAACAATTTAGCATCAAAACTTAATAAAATTAAGCTTTACAAAATTGTAAATAAATTATAATACTTTTTACTTTTATATATTTGCTTTTGGCTTGAATTCTCTAAATAAACACGTGCAGATACATACTAACCTTTCTTGTTTTTCAAAAATTTGCATAATAATTTGCATTTAACATAAAGTTAATACTTCTAATTAATTCTACAATAATTAATTAATAACAACAACAACATGAAACCAATCGAGTTAATCTTGCCGTACAATAAATAGCACAAATACAAGTAAATAAATTTGTGCTATGAAATAATTTCCAGCAAAAATATTGCTCCATACTTAATATACGATAATAAAAAAATAATTTTTACAAAATATTAAAACGTAATATTAAAGGCACACGATCAACAATTAACCACGAATGTCGGAACGTGTTTTATATGTACTTGTATGTGTAATAAGATGTAAGCGTAAATAATTTATTACAACAAACAAAAACAAAAAAAAAAAAAATTAAAAATAATGTACTCATAATATTTACCGTAAACTTCTCTAAATACTGCAAACTTTTAGAATTGAAATTAAGGCGTGTACGCTTCACTGCAAATTTCTTGATGTTGTCTTCTTCCCTCCATCGGCAAAATTGTACGCGCCAATTGTAATAATGTAATTTTTAATTAGTTTTAGTAAAAAGCCAACAACAAGCAACTCAAATGATAAAGCAACAATAAGCAATAGAAAAAATAAATTATTTATGAGCAAGAAACTGCAAAAGTTTCCAAAATCATATTCAAACTCCATTAAGTGTTAAGAGAGCGTAGTTAAAGAGCGAACCACTGACAGCTGCGTAATTGCAGGAGTGGAAGAGAGCATGGAGATATGAGGAACAATTGTTGAAATTCTAAATTGATTACTTATTATTATTATTATTATATTATATATTATATTATTACTATTGTGTAGTTTGTACTATAAGCATATTTTACAAGAATATATTTTTATATATACATACAAATATATATTGAAAATATTTTTATTAAACATAAATAAGTAAAAAAAAAACAAAAAACAACTGTTTGTTTTTATTTGGATTTTGCACAAATAGCCTAATTATTTTTTATTAGGACCTCTTTCAATAAAAAAAATAATTACTACATTAACCAGTCTCTCTCTCTCTCTACGGTGCCTTCTAATTTGTTAAATAAGGGGTTATATCGACTTGTGAATTCCAAACAATCGAATGTGCATACACTTGAAAATATTCTCTGAAAACTTAAAAGTTGATTGGGCAATTAGTTTCGACAATATAAATGTAAGAATTTAACTTAGTGTAATTGGCTACTAAAATTTCCCGAAACGGTGATTTCAGAGTCGGTTAGGAAATTTTCTCCGTAACAGTTGGACCGATCTAACTGAAATTCACCTTCTTAGACACATTTATCAGATTATTATCGAATAAATAAGATTTTCGATTACAATTTCATTTTTTCACAGCAAACGACATTTTCTTCGGAAAGCCATTATTTTGTCAGAATTCAAAATTTTGACTAGTCCTTCCATAGTAATAATAAATTTTTTCCTTTCTTTTTATTTGATATAATTTTAAACAGAAAAAACTTCCTCACCGCCAGATACCTTTTTTCGAAGGTCCTACTGGTCGCCAAAATCAATAAATCAATCACTGATTATTAAAGTGCATTAAATTCTGTAACAAAAACGCAGTTTTTCTGGCTGGCAAGTGAATATAACCCCATAAAATTTGTAATTTCTCTGCTATTGGCTAATATTAATAATCTTCAGTAGACAATTTTAAAAATAGCGAAAATGGAGATCTTCTCTAATCTTAAAATGATTTGGTCTCCTTTTGGTCTCCATATATCACATATATTTTTGAGCTTCTATGGATCGAATTTGAGAAAGAGTGCTCTTAGTATTTAAAAACTGCGCAGAAACAGTCTTGATTTATTGCAAGAGCCGTGTTACCATATATTTTAGATATTCCAGGTAAATTACAATATAAAACAAATTGCCGTCTTCGGCTCGAGATTTCTCCGCTCTCTTGTCAAAAAATATACACATGCAACAACTACAAAGTTATTCCGTTGAGTGGGAGTATATGTACACGTCTTAAAAGCAACATAACCGCACTCTATTTGCTTATGCCAGTCTATTCGATTTATACCAGTTGCTTTTTCGATTTCACACTATCGAAGCTTTAGCGAATCAAAGGCAACACTTCTAACACATTCACCTTTAATCGACATAAATACTACAAGTTCAGCATCCATTAATACTTAAGCACAGGAAAGTTGAATTGAATTGTATTTTCCAAGCGCATCACATATATTATGAAATGTCATTATACGTTATATTATTAATTTCTCTCGTTTCATTTTGTGATTCATAAAAACCTGTGCAATATTTAATTGTCCGTTTCTATTGTCTTTGGCGTTGAAATGAGTGCAGATGTGACAGGATATGCACGTGTGACAAGCGAAAAAAAAAAACTAAGTAACAATGCTAACTAATTCACAAACACATTCACATACACGCTGTAATTATACATTTATGCGCTGGCTGTTATTCATTCACGCATGCGCGTCCATACATATGTCCGTATGTGGCCACTTAAATACTTACAAGCGATTACTTTGTCGCTAAGTAATGAATAATGAATGGGCCACATTCCCATAATGTTTTATTGATGAACTGCCTCGCAGCGGCATTGTCGTTGCCACACTAAAAGATAGTTGGGCATTTATGTATCATAGTTATGTGTACGTGTGACTGCTGGTCCCTCAGCGTCCAGCATCTTTCACAGCATTTTCACTATTTATTTATACTTTTATTATACACACATGTATGCATGTTCGTGATATCACTTTGTGGCAATTTTCCCACATTTCAGCTATGTCCAACCCAGCAGATAAAATTGGCTGGGATCTATCTGCTTACATGAGAGACGAAGATGAATAATAGGTGAAGATAAGTATCTGTTGCTCTCAACAACATGACAAGTCGGGTTGTAGGTCTATATCTAAAATATTCGATAGAGCTACAATAAGAGCTTTCTTCACCTTGACATACATCACTGTTATTAATTCTTATAAGTGTAAAGCTCCAGATCAATGCGTAGAGCTTGTGCAGTAGCTTAGAAATGACTTATTTTTATTCTAATCGGGTATAAAGAAGATACAAATTTCATTCACCAACCAAAAAAATTTTATAATACAAATACTATTAGTATTACATCGAGATCTTGATATTTTTGAAACTAAAATATTTAAATGAACTCTTTAAGTTGTAGCCCACAAAGCTAGTAAATATTATTATATCCGCAAAGATTGTAATACCCAGAAGGAATCGTCGGAGGCCCTATAATGATCAGCATGATGAGCTGCGTCGATTAAGCCATGTCCTTCAGACTGTCTGTATTTATGCGAACTAGTCCCAAAGTTTTTGAGAATTAATCTGAAATGTTACACATGTACTTTTCTTCCCAAGAAGCTAACTTTTTGAAACCGCCAATATCGGACTACTATAGCATACAAACTGACCGATCAAAATGAAATCCTTGTATGAAAAATGTTTTTACTTGACAAGATATATTCACGAAATCTGGCACGGATTATTGCCTAAGAGAATGCTTTAATCTTAGAGTATATTAATCAGATCGGATGCCTAGAGCATATAGCTGCTTTATAAACTGACCGATCAAAATCAAGATAAATATCTTCAGTCAAAGAAAACAAAAAAATAAATAAATTCATAAATTCTAGGGTTATTAAACAAAAAAACTCAAACCTTACCTTGTGCTAGGTAAATATTACCACTGGGATGTTGGCTTCAGCATTCACCACAGTCATGCACACGCATGCGCACAAACCATTCCTTCAACGCTGACCATAACAATTAATAAGATTTCAACAGCACAATTTACTTTTACCTTTTTTGTGAGCAAGCAATTTAGGAGCGTCATTTTAGCACGACAGCCGTACATTAATTCCTCTTTTTTGCTGCAGACTACAAACATGCAACAGCCATTCGGTCTGAGGGTGTCACGGAGCATGCCTATGCATCAAAACACAACAAAAATCAACGCGGTAGCCCCCAAGAAGATGCCGTGAAGGCAGGAGACGCCCAGAAGAAACAAAAACGTTTAAGCCAAATATATTTATATAAACATAGCTGTTTGTGTGTGAGAGTCTGCAAATTTTGAAATCGTTTGTCAGTTTGCCAATAAGCACGCATTGTATCTTTTCCATTACTTTTCAAGTCTTCCCGCAGCTCATCGAATTTCAAATCGCGCTTCGTCTAATACGCTCCCAAATGACTTGCCGCGATAGATCGACTGTAATGAGTTAAGACACTGACAGCAATGTGCGCGCGCTTGCACGTGCAAGCACTTCCTGCACCGCGCACACCTCGCATGCCCCCTCACAGCGACAGCGCGTTCAATTTACTGCCACAAACACACACACACACAAGCGCCGTTAGCCGCTCAAACCACTCCCAATTAATTTATTAATTTATGTGCTTTTAATTTCATAAATTATTACCTGAGCGATATTCGTCGGCATTACAACAAGTGACAACAATAATAAGCCACCGCAATGCGCACGTCCCCGCGCTGCTGTCATAAATGCCACAAAATGCAATCTCTTCACTAAGCGTTCAACTTTTGACTGGTGACTGGTGACGGCGCGCAAAGCCACCAAAGCAACGTACTGGCTGCATATGCTTTTGTTGTTGTTTTGATAGCCATTGTTGCATTTACTGTCATTAACGTGATTTGACGCTGGCGTCAACATTTCCAGCCACGGAATGCGGTTGAGTGCATTCGACTTTTCACCATCGCAAATCCCAACCAGCGACCATCAGACGGGCCGAAGCGCGATCACCAATTATAATTGAATCCAAATGAATTGCCCGGCGAATCCCGTAACTGGCAGCAACAACAGCAACAGCACTGCCTGTAGTTGTGGCTATTGGCTGTGCAAGGGCTGCGGGGAGTAGTCGGGCAAATGCGAACCGTGAATGGAGTCATTAAATGCGACAATTTCATTTTTAATGATGCGACAATGCGACAGTGTGACAATTGCAGTTGTGTGCGACAACAACACACATAGTTATTTCAGAGTTCCAAGGTGCAGACAGTCAGTCAAACGGTTAAACGCACTAACTGTAGATAATCGGTCAATTGTATTGTTGTATTTTCGCATCGCTCGCATTTTCACAACACAATTTTAATTACTCACAATATATATGCCTCAATATGAATATATATGTGACCTATCAGAATCATATTTGTATTGTATATATAAAATTTTTTCTTTTTTTAACACAAAAGATGTACCAATGAACACCGAAAACCTTTAAACGAAAGCTTTTTGTTAGGATGTCTACTCGAAACCCAAAAGCACTAATGCAAATTCATGTTGATAACGCGTTGAAGATATTGACCGCTTTTATTCTATTTTGGTATCAAATTACTTTGTGAGAAATTAGATATCTAAACTTATATACAATTCATAACCTAACTAACAGATATACATAGAACATTGTTGTATTAAAATTAGAGAAGTTATGGATCAATTGTAGCCATTTTCATATCCTCAACCAATTTTCTAGAGATATCTGGCACACTAGACGACATATACACGACGACATATATAAAGTCAAGTAGTTGTTATAGGAATCTCAAGTTAATTATATAGAGGCTAGGAAATGTTATGATCCGACTGCACATATTTTATGATGATACTTTCCAAAAAGCAGATAACTAAGAGTATATGCGGTTATTTAGATACGTTAAGTAATATACCGAATACTTGATTCTTGATTTAATTATTGTAAAGTCAATGATGCTTATGGGATTATAAATGGCGTTCTTTAGATAGTGCGTGTGGTAGGTGTCCGATATGCTGATTTTTAATCCCCACTAAAAGCCCCAAGCTCGTCATCACTGCGAGCGTGTATTACAAGTATACTCGACCTTGTTATCGAACTCGGGCTAAATTGGCAATGCAACCTAGAACAGGAGACCCATGGAGAATTAAACACAACTTTGCTCAGTATAAATAATTTAAGTACCAGTCATATAGAGGGAAACGCAAATGCAGACGAGGTGGTCTACCCGGAGCAGCTAGTATCACAATTCCGTTAAGTTGCCTCAGATTAATAACTCCTTCGAGGGTTCCTTAAAGCAATTTGCTCTAGAGGAACATCTTGGTTCTCGAAACACTAGCAACATAGAGCAAACCATACTTTGTAATGGAGTTGAGGGTAGACAGACTTTTAGACAAAAGAGAATTTAGTAGCAATGGTTGAATTGCGCCATTAAAGTTGCATATATTTTAAGCACAGGCTCATAAAAGAACACTATAGAAAAAATTAAAAATTGAAAAAATTGCGGCGGTTTAAAAAAATTTAAATATTTAACCAAATTTTGGTGGTTTTTATACTGCCAAATTTCGATTTTTGATCAGATAAAAAACTGCAAGGTCCTTTTATGGAGAACTTAGTTCAGACATGCAAATAAAACAGTTATTTTGAAAGGATTAACCTATCGAAAAATGAAAAAAATTGTTTTTTGTTCTAACTTTCGACTTGATGTGTCCTTTAATTTAATTTACGTTATACTTACTTGGATAAAATCTTTAATAAAAAGCAAAAAAAAAACAATTTTTTAATTGTTTAATTGTCTTTGCATTATACTTTATTCCTTTTATTTGGTATTCATTTTACCATTTCTCTTTTTGTTGTGTGTTTTATGTTCATTTATGTATTTGCGAATTTAAATTTAACGCTAATTACAATTTAAATATTTTTGTTGTTGCTTATCCACAAATATATTTTAAATCTGTTTATTAATTTTTTAGCTTTGTTTTTAAGAATTTGCGTTTGTTTCACATACTTAACTGTATTTGTTATAATTAAATTACCTAATTTTATATGAGTGTGTATTGAAAAGTGATTTATTGAAAATTTCATATATTGGTATATATATATATATTTTTTTTTGTATGTATATATTTATTTACGTTTAACTTGTTCAATATATGAAATGCTTATGGCATATTGGTGATTTTGCTTGCGGGTTTCGGGTGGTTTTGGTTTTTCACTTCATTTAGGTCGCTCTTCATGTTTACATATGTATGTATGTATATATGTATTAGCAATGAGATTTTAGGTTATGTTTTTCTTTTTTCAGTAGTACCGGAGGATATAAGATTTTCGTTCTGGTTTTTGTTTTTAAGGTTTTTGAGTTTTCTTTAGAATACGAAAAATTTGTTTTTTTTTGGTAATTTTTTGTTGTATTTTCCCTTAAAACTTATTACAAAATGTTTTTTATTGAAAGTATTTGTAGTTTTTTTAATTTTTTTCTTTAAATTTACACAAATACATATGTGTGTAAATCCGTTAGTAGTTGGTGATTAATGCCTGCAGAGTTTGTAAGTGTTGTTGAGTTATCTCGCTTCAATTGCCATTAGTAATTCTAATATAATTGTTTTTGCTTTTGGTGAGACTATTGCGCCGTTGAAATGTTTGCTTTCGCTTTCTCCCGAAGAATTAAGTTTTCAAATTATTTAACATACTTTTTATTTTACTATTTCGTGCTTTTAGTAAAGTGTTTGAAAAGTTTTAGAACGATGTTTACCGTTATAGTTTTAAAGATGTAGCCAATTTATTTGTATCAATTGTTTATTGGTCACATCACATATTTGCCTAGTTTTCATGTGTTACTTCCCCTAGTTAATGTTTTTGTTTGGCCATTTCATTTAATTTTTTTTTTAATTTTTTTAGATGCTAAATCTAATAACAGTTTAAGAATTATTTTATTTTTAATTTTTTAATTTTTGCTCGATTTACGAGTGTTAGTCATGTACTCGGTTGTACATGTGTCAATCAATTCCTTTTTTCATATATAATACATTGCGTGCTGGTGTGTGTGCGTGTGTGTTTTCTTCTATTTCTAGTTTATGCATATTTTCGAAATACAACAACACAGATTTTACTTTAAAGTTTTTATTCATTGTGTGGTAGAAAAAAGCTACTTTTTGTCGTTTTTTTTTGTGGAAAAATAAATGTTTTTAAATTGTATTTTACATATTTTTGGAAAATATTTAAAAATATGCAATTAAAGTAAGTAAAATAAAAGTGAAAAAACTGAAATTAGTGAAAACTAATAAAAATATATTTATGATCTGAGCTCTGAGATTGGTTTTATATTTCTTTAAAAAAAATTATTTTTTTTATATTATTTTTTATCTTGTTGTTGTTGTTATTATGTATTTTAATATTTAGCACGTTGATATTTTTTTGCGCTTTGGCAGTGAGTTCAAATATATTTGCGTTTATCTTGTTTTTATATGTTGATAAGTTAGTTCGAAAATTTGCTTAATTTTGTTTTAATACTTGCTTCTAGATAATTTTCTAATTAAAGAATACGAAAAAAAAACGCTCAATTAAATCAAGTTTGAAATCAGCCTTTGAAACGCTAAAGACGAAGTAGATACTTCAGCCGACGTGGCTTACCTTAGCCCAGAACTTCGCATCTCTCAGTTAGAATAATCATAGTAACTTTGACACGGGAGCGCGTAGGTCTTCGGCTGAACGTTCTTGATACAAAAGCAACATAATTACCAACTAATACATGGTTCAATAATATCAAAAAAAAAAAAAAAATTTATCAGATATTAACCTAATCTTGAAAAAAACCAAAGAAAATGAAATTTTCCCCAGCAATCTCTTTATCGATTTTAAAACATCTTCTAACAAATTTATACGGCTCTATAAAACCGAAATAGCTTAATTAGAATAAGAATAAAATTCTGCGAGGTTTCAGGAAAGATATGAATCTAAATTCTAATCCCATAAAATGGCGCTGAAATATGGTTTTTTGGAGTGTTTCAGCGAAAGATTATGCAAAAGTTTTGTAGACACATGGATAACGGAACTTATCGCAAAAGTTAGACTGATGATAATTTAAGACAAAAATGTTTAATATAAATTTATATTTATAAAGCAAAAAAGATAATTTTTTCTACACGATAACAACTAGAAATAAAATCTCCCATACATACAACAAGAATACAATTGCTGCAAATTAAATAGTCCCGTCAAAAAGGGTAAAGTTACATAAATTTACTAAAATTGAAAGATAGCGAATATTTCTAAATCATGATTAAAAATATCATACTAAAACAATTATAGTTCCGATATGTGTAAAAAAACATTCAAGGTTAAAGCTAAATTTTTTTAAAAAAATAATAATAAAATAATTTTTCAACGAAACGGTAAGTTATATCAAAAAATTACTTTAGACCAAAATTGAAGATCATAAAATTATCTATAAAGAACACTTTTTTTACTAAGACCTACTATTAGTGAGTTACAATAAAATATAATAAACGTCAAAATACGCACACGTTTCCTCGTCATCTTTTTGAATCGTTATATCTTAGAAAACACTTAAAAAATATTATTGATAAACGAATTATAGATAATTTTATGATCTTCATTTTTCGTATTTTATAATACAACTTGCTGTTTCGTTCAAAAACTACGAACTTTTTTAACTTAGCACCTCGAGTATATTTATTTTAAAAGCATACAGAAAGAAAAACGAAATATGTGACTTTTTGTAGAAATTGAAATGAAATTAATATATTTCAAGAAATTTTCCTAAATAAATTATAATAAAATTAATTAATTGTAATTATTAATTTCACAATTTTATTTTTGGTTTGCATTTTTGGTATCAAGTTTCTAATCTTTTTTATGCATATATGGCTTTTAAGTGTTTTTGTATTGTTTATGATTTTTGTTTTTTGTTTTTTCTTTTTAATTTTTTTATTATTATTTGGCTAAATTTTTTGCACTACTTGACTTAGGCAAACCATTAAATTCATAAATATACAATTACTAATAAATACATTTACATACACTTGCTTTGCTATAATTAAGTATTCATGTACTTATATTTACTATTCTCATTTATATTTTTATAAAAAACAAATCATATATAATTACAATAATACAATCGTATAATGCGTACATATATAGTAAGTACAGTAACTAGTTTGTAATTATTTCATATTGACTACATCATAATCATTACTCATTATTTAGTAGTACAATATAATTTTGGAAATTAAAAACCATCATTATAAGTATTTACAAAATGCTTTCGATGTAAAAATTCATTTGTTTTTGTTGTTGTGGCTAATGTTGCGGTTGTTGTTTTTGTTGTTCTGTTTGCTCTTGTTGCTACGCACCTAACGCGACAATGCAAATTTTCGTGAAATTATAACTCTCACTTTAATAAAAAAAAAAAACAATTTAGCAACCGCTTATTTTGTTTACCAAAGATAACAACAACAAAAATGTAGCGTTAACAAACAAGTTACCTTGAAGGTACTGTAAAAAAAGTATGCACACAAATATGCATTTATAACAGTTAAATTTATAACTAACTCGGAATTCTTTGTAAATTTGATTTCTTTTATTTATGAACTAAGAAACATAAATTATTTAGTCGTAAATAATTATTGGAATTATAAGATTTCGCTTTCGTTTCAATTTTTTTATAATACACACAAGGCGGAACGGCACTTAGAAAATGAAAAGCACAATTTATTAATTTTAGAATGCGGCTATTAGATCATTTTAATACTCTATGTATATATCTAAGTATAACAAGAATTTCCACAATTTTTCGCTTTAATTTATTTAATTAAAGCTTCAGAAATATTCTCTACTCGAAACTGGTTTTTAAATTTAAAAAAAATGTTTCAAAAAATGTAAAATATTTCTAAAAGTCTGGTTAAATTACATAGAAATATGAGTGAAGTCACATAAACTTACAACAAAGTCATAGTTAGTGAATACATTCAAACATGATTAAAAATAACGTAAACATAAAGTCGCCATCGTTCCGATATGTGGTAAAAATATTCGATATGAAAGGTCGAATTTTTTGCGCGATTTTTAACGAAACGGTAAGTTATGTCAAAAAATTACCCTAGACGGCAATTATATATTATAAAATTATCTATAAAAAATGTAGCAAAACTTTTCTCCACAGACCGACTGTTTCTGACCTTTGATGAAGACTTTTAGTAAGTTATTTTTAATCATGTTATGGGAATATTAACTAATTTTCAGCTTTTTGTAATGTCTATTAAATAACCACATCAGTTCAAAAAAAAAATGTGCCACCCGCACCTTGAGCATAAACATATACGTAACAATCGTCGTTGTTGCACCTTAAATGTCTCGCATGTGTCTTTAGCACAGTACACATGCATAGCAAAGGCGCCAAGAAGCATGCTACAACAATTTCTTGGCTCGGCAACCAGTTCCTTACAAATTAGCTGCTCAACAGTCGCGCTGACTAGATTTCATTTACATACACACTATACATATAATCTCGTGGTTTGCACTTTTAAATTTTATTGCGTTTTCCTTAATTTCTGCACATTTATATAATTTTTTTTTTTTGTTGTTTTTAGTATTTTCTTTTGTTTGCTAACGGTTTCCAGGCATGAGTTCTAGCCAATTGGCATTACATTTGTAATTTGTGCGCATACAATTCGTTAGAATGTTTCATTTGTTTTATTTATCTTATTTTACCACCCACACTTCAACTCGAGACCCCGCAAATCGCTTTGTGTCCTTGATTTCCATTAGTATTTGTGCTTATGCCATTTACTTTCACTTTACATTATAAATGGTTTGTCATTTAATATATTTATATATTTAAGGAATTATATATTGCTTCATTTTTGTATTTTTTTTTTAATATTTTTTTTTCCAAAATACTATTTTTTAAAAACCGAAGAAATGTGGTACAAATTTGTTAAAGCACACTCATATGTGTATGTATCAGTATCTTTTATCTTTCGAGATATTTTTTGCATGCGTGTGCAAGTCAAAAGCTACGGCACGTCAGTAACGGTACCTATCTTTGTGTTTTTGCACACAGGCATACAGACATACACTTAACTGCCGATCATGCGAGAATTCGCTGCATACTCGTACATACAAAAATAGGTCAGTAAGTATGTATGTTAAGTACATAAGTAAATAAGTCAGTGGTACGTAAGTATGTAAGTAAGTATTAAGTATTCCGCTTGACGCTTAGACACTAGTAGGAAACTAAATATTGTAGCAAACCCTCAATCTTATATCTATGTGTAGTAGATCCTTAAGACATACCCTTAGACATTAGTGCTTAATGCTTACTGCTTAAACGCTTAGTCCTTACTTGTGTCTAGGGCTAGAGCTTAGGTGCTACTTATATATTTAGTTGTCGCTTTTCGCAAGCCATCTGCGAACACGCTTTATTGTTTGTTTATTTGTTGCTATTACTCTCCAGCTTCACACTCCCTCACCTTGAGTTCCAGCGCTGCATGCAACTTTTTCTTCTAATCACTATTTTTGTGGATGTGCTTCTTAGTTTCTTACTTTTATTAACTTGCCGTCGTTTCTCAACACATTTTTCGCCCAGTGAACTCAACCAATTGCTTTTGTCTGCTCAACAAACATTGACGCTCTGCTAAAGCGTTCTATTGCGCGACCTTAAGTGGGACTGTCTGTTGTGGAAGCCGCTGCCGATAAGCTACCGTCTTGCAGTTGTGCCAGCGCTTTGAATTTCTGCGAGTTGAGGAATCTTTTGTGAAGTAGAGAAATTTTGTTTGAGTCAGCGAACTGAGCGCAATTTACAAATCACTCACCTTGGATATGAGTCTCGGTGCATGAGCGTATAAATTTGTATTTGGGCCTCGTCGAAGGTGTGCGGTGTCGGCTCCACCATATTGCGATTAACGATCTCTCGTACGCGCGAGTCCAGCGATACTTCACGTGGCGACAATATCGAAATGTAATCCTCGTAGATGAGACGCGCCTTCTCCTCAATCGCTTCGGGACTGCTCTCTTTTTTTAGCTCTTCGCAAGCGAGCCAAAACAGTATATTCTCTTCGCTGAATTCGCTGCGTAGGAAGTCACGAAACACTTTACGTCCAGCTGGAAAAGTAAGTTGAATAAATATTGTTTTTATATACTGTTATTATGCTAAAGACGAATATGCAAGGAAATGCGAAAGTATTTCATATATTATATATTCAAGTCCTTTCCTAAGCTCTTTAACCTAAAACAATAAAATATAGTCGAAGAAAAAATTCCGCTAAGAAACCCTAGTCATACAATATAGCTGAGGACCCTACATTTACCAAACACATTATTATTGGTGACATGACGAAACCGAAAAAAGGAAACGAGAATCATCGCTCTGTCATCGTATTCGCCAGATTTGGCTCTCTCTGAGTTTTTTCAGTTTTCGAAGCTAAACAAATACATTTCGGGGAACGCGCCTTGAATCATTGAAGCCATTAACACACATTCGCCAATAGCTCTAAAGGCCATCCCAGCCGAGACTGGGAGAGTGTATAGAAATTTGGATTAAGCGTTGGCATATCTTTACTGGATCAAAAGCCTCAGCTGCAATTAGACCAAATGGTTCATCCCTTACTAGGAATTTTATAGCATTGAATACCCGTATATAATATCAGGTCGGACAAGAGACTTATAGCATTCCTAGCTTATTAACATGAAAGGAGCCAACACGCTCTCGTGCCTGTCCTATAAAGTACATTATTATTACGGGCATCTACACCGATCCCCAAGTTAATTATGGCACCACTTCGAAAATATAAGTGCCAATAAAGACCAATTAAGAGATAATTAAATGAGGGGTGTGACATTCGGCGGATTTGACCATTGTGTCGGCTATAAAATTAAGCTGTCTGCGCAAAGATAATCAATTAAAACCATTTCGCCCTACATACTTGAAAGCAGAAAGCTTTAGCGCCACAATATAAGCACATACAAAATTAATATGAATCATTTTCTTCTAGATAGCAAAGACACATGAAGGAAATTCTCGCTAAGTGTAGGAAATTATTTAATCAAAATTTTTAGGGATGATGAGGGGGAGGAAAATTAATTGCGGTTACGTTTCCGCAGCGGCGCAACACGCAAATCACTGTTGACTAGCACCGGCGTGGAACGAGAGAAAAACAACAAAAACAGCAAGAATGAGCCATGCGACAGGTGAATCAGCAATGCTAATGCAGCTGTTAAGCGTAAGGGCATCGCGTGCCTGAAATGTTTTTGCTCAGTTTATTTGCGGAACATTTGTTCGAGCGCGCGTGCCATAAAAGAAAATAAAATAAATAATAGCGAGGTATGTAGTATAAACGCATAAATTCGTGCACACAACTCACCTAGTGAATACACATTATGTGAATGTTCAACCGTATGGCATATCTCTAGAGCTGCCGCTTGCAACAACTGCTCGCTGTCATTTTGTTTATTTCGGGACTCTTTCAACCGAAAAGCAACATTACAACAATGGTAAGAATAATAAATAAGAACAAGAGCAAGCAGCCGGCGCTAGTTAGTGGCCAAAGTTAACACAAAAGTCACTCCGGTGGCTCGTGCAATTGACAGAGAGACGAATGGGTTGGCATTCATCAGCCAAACAAACAAAAAAAAGCGTACAAGAAAGTCGTGAGCTCAACAAGCCATTTGACATTGCGGCAAGCGAGTAGTGGCAGCGCGCAGCAGTAATTGCTTGCTACTATTGATTTAATTCCTCAAACTTGTCGTTAACTTGAGGAAAAATGTTTGTTTACGAAACTAAGCATGAGCAATCGCTTCCGTTGAAGACTTAGACAGATACGCGCTGATTGGTGTGACTGGTGAAGTGTTGATTTATTGCGGGTTTGGGTCCTCACTTTTGCTTTGCTAGTGTACCCATCTTATGGTTATTAATATTCGCATACTAATATTTTTGTTAGCATTTGCATTTCCAATCAAAAACGAGTTCTTTGTGTGCATATTTATTTATAATATTTCTTTGGTAACAAAGATAAGTTAATAAAATATGACAGCTAAAGATTGTTCGAAGTATTTATGAGTGGCTTCATTGATATTCAAGGTCATGGAAGGTTAAGCTTGTAAAATACACAATAACTTGCGATAAATTTTGATAGTGTTAACCAAAGGCAAATCTTGAAAGGAATTTAATGTTACTCATACGCCACGGCTGTTTCTTTTGGATGGTAGGGTACCATTCAGGGTTGCGAATTTTTTAATTCAAACATTTGGGTTTAAAAATTTCATTTTAATTTTTAAATCCCGATGTTGGAAATAAATATTCAATTTTCATTTCTTAATCCCAGATGTTGAGAATTAAAAATTTAATATATTATTCTTTCATTCGAATGAACGCGAAAAAATGTTAATTCTTAACTAAATTCTCATTTTAATTCTTAATTATTTGCTTGAGATAAAAATTTTTCTTTTTTATTTTTAAACGCGGTAGTTGGAATTAAAATTTTTGAGATTCAAATTTAAAAAAAAAAAAAAAAATTTTTATCCGGTATTTGAGATTAAGGGTTTTTTTTTTAATCCCGTATTTGGATTTAGAAAACAAAAAAATATTAGTTCAAATGTTATTTCAATTATTTTTTTAATGCATCATCAGCAAACATCAAAGTTTGAATACCACAGATTGTTCAACCACTACAGTGAATATAAAATCAGATCAAGAATATCAATTAGTAATCTCATCTACATATATAGAGACTACTTCGTTGATCATACATATTCAAAATCTAAAATTTTCTCGAACATTTGGGTTGGAAAGTCAAGCAATGCTAATATGCTTTGAAATTTAGGCTCTATTTACGTTACAGGCAAGTAAATTTAAGAATACCGATATACCACTTTATGAGAAATTCAAACTGATCGCGCTATATTTATTGCTGTTCTTTCACAAATGTTTGACAAGAGAGCAGCACTCAACGATACTGAGCGAGAAATAGTGAAACGAAGACGGATACAAAAACTTTACTACTACGAGTATATATACCATTTTTTTAGACAGATATATTAATAAGTCCATAGTTATTGGACTCGATACTTTAATGAATAATGTTGAACTAACAAAAAGAAATTTCCATGATTGAAAAATAATAATAATTTTAATTAATAAAATCGAAAAAGTCTAAACAAGATATATATTGGATTATAACAAATTTTATATATACAAGTATATATTCTACATATATAAATACAAAGGTATATATGTAATAGTTATTCTATTTCTATATGTCTCACAAAATTCCAAAGAAATCTGTTAACTCAATTTAAGATAGAGTCTTTAAGTCGGGTTGTTTTTGTAAATTAGATGCCAACTAATTAAGAAAAAACTGTGTCGCCGATAGTTGAATTCAATTTTATATAAAATTATGCAAAGAAAAAACAAAAACTCTGTGTTTTGCACTTACTCGCATTTTTCATTAGCAAATCGAAATTTTTACCCCAACTTCGTATTTCCTCGAGACTGGGCCTACAAAAAAAGTAAAACGTGTTACCTGATATAAAGCATAATATATGAAATTGTTTATACTCACTGTTCACCGTCCAAAAGCAAATCCACGCTCGCTGGATCACGTCTTGTTGGTGCATTGTCTTCCGCATTTTTTATTGCCAAACTGAAAGAAGTAAATAGAAAATATTTGGAATTCAAAATAAGGTTTATGTAAACATTAACATACAATATGTACTCGCATATTCATACGAGTACATACTCTGAATATATACAAGTATAATGCCACACATATTGTTTTGCAATACAAATTATATTTATTCATAAAATAATCTGTTTGGATTCACATACGTATGTGTGTGTATAACCTGCTTAATAAATATCTCGTAGATGTAGTATATATAAGTATTTCCATTTCCATTGAATACATACAAAGTAAACAAGGTTTTCTGCATAAAAGCACTCATGCAGTGTAGAATTGAGAAGCGTGTGCGACCAGCTGTTTAGCTATTTAGCATAAAACTAAATCACAGATACTGTCTGCGGTGACTGACTGTTGTGTAAATTCATCGTTAATTCAATTAGAGCTGGAGAAAGTGAAGGCGAAGAGAGCCTGGTCAGAACATTGTAATCGTCGTATATGTGCAATATATGTGCGTGCTCTGTGAGTTTGCCAGATGGTGGGAATAGGTGGAAATGAGAAAAGGAACGTTTGGCATAATTGCTTGAGTACATACATACATAGTATTATATACATATATTCGAAGGGTGAGAAGGGTCACAAACTCCGCGATAAGCGCACACGCGAGTGTCCATCAACAGCGCTAACATAAAACAACATTTTTAATTTATATACATAAATTATAGCTTATATATGTGTATATGTATGTTGGGCGGTTGCTTGTTGAAGTAAATTTTCCTGTAACTTTTGATTTATTTTCTTTGTTTGGCGTGCGATCGCATCAAATATGGCACAATCGTGAATGTAGCATTATAGTTCTGAAGTATGGAAATTAGAAGATTTATTTAAAAAAATGTGAAAGTTAAAAGGATTTTAAAGTGATAGAGTTTAAATGAACTAATTATTTAGTCGTAACGTATCTATTTTACTTTATAATAAATTTTTGAGACTTCTATGAGACCGAACCCATAATAATCATAATTTTAGCGAAACATAACTTACTATATTATAATGTTTCAATTTACAAAATATAAGTACCCACTCAGCCTACAATCTACTCAGAGAGTTATTTTTAACATTGAAGTGAAAAAATTTGCCTACATTTTGGCGTCAAGAGGAAAAAGTATGGTAAACAAAAATGTATCGAAAAAATTAAATTAAAAATTAAAGAAAAGCATCACTGGCTATTTTTAGGGACTTTAATTCTCAGAATAAATATTTGATTGCTAATAATAATTAATAATTGTTATCTCTTTTATTCTGAAAAACAACCAATAAACAGTTTCTACTATAGCCTAAAATTATGCTACCCTAATAAAGAAACACACATTTATACCTAAATCAGTAATATATTTAGAGACGTATTTATAATTACATTATATATCATTTTTACATATTTCTATATCTATTATCTATATCCAAATTATTAAGTCCAATCGTTCTCTGATTATAGAATTAACTTGTACAAGTATGCAGTTAAAGTTTCAAAAAGTTAAAATATACATTTCAATCACATAAATATCAAACATTTTTCAACAATTAGACAAGCTTATCTTATAAGTCCTCTCTGATTGTCTGCCGACTAAACCTCCAGTTTTTTAGATATCGATCTGAAATTTTGCACACGTCCTTTTCTCTAAAACAAGCTACTCATTTGTCGGAATCGCCGATATCGAACCACTATAGCACATATCTACCATAGAAACTGAACGATCGGAATCAAGTCTTTGTGTGGAAAACTTTTTAATTGACAAGAGCACCCAATTCAACGCTACAATCTCTGAATAAATTGTGAAGAAAAGCGAACTTTCAAAATCATGATAAAGATCTTTTTATACGCTTTTTTTCTATAAGAAATATATCTGTGAGGGGTATTACATCTTCGATGCAGCCGAAATTAGAATTTTTTCTTTTAATTTCACTCCACTACATACTTTCAAAAATCTCTTTCGCACCACTAAATAATATTATATTTATTTTTAGTAGAGCTTTGGCAATTCATTTATCTTTGCTATCGGTTTTTCACCTATATTTGTGCTATATATACACGTATTGAAATTTATTTTTACCCGCTTATCATTTAGGCAACACGTTTTCCCATCTGGTTTGCTTTATTTTACTGAAATATTTTCAAACTTTTATCTACTGAGTTGTTTACTTCTTTCAGTTATTATTTTTGCTTTTATAGATAAGCGTTTATCTAACATTCAATCGATAGTTTGTGGTTCGAGTCAAAATCGATAAACCTAAACAATAATTTCAGTACACAGATTTGCTAATAGCTGAAACAATTCTCCAGTTTGTACTTTTTCAAAATGACGAAGTTAAGCAATTTTTAATATTCCTTAACACAAACAATTTTTAAGTAAACAGTTTCACTTTAATGCTCATTAGTTACCGCCGTGACCTACATACTTACCTTTGTTTCAATTTCGTTAGCAAATTTCGCCAGCGTTCACTCATAACGTCGGCCACAGGTACCACAAACACCACTATCACGTTGCCGAATGGTCATACAGTTCGATTTTAGGCAAAAAATTTGAGAAAGGTTTCGTTCGTTTCGTTTCGTTTTATTGCATTTTCTTTGTTCAAGTCAATCAATCATTTGCCACATTAGCACCACCTCCTACAGTCAAGCGTATGCACACGAAACTACTTGTATTACAAAGCAATCTCTAATTGTTCTTGTTGGCGATCATTAAAACCACACCATCACTGCACGCACGCGCTTACCCATCGAAATGAAAATATGGTATATTATTAATTATAGTTACTCATACGCCCGGTTGAGCCAGTTGTACCATACAAAAAGCACTGCAACTATGAAAATGCGCAGTGAAGGAGGTGTGGGACAACACCGCAAAATGTTGAAGCATTTTGTTGCTTTAACTGCATAATTAGCCAAAGTTGTCCGCAACAGTGCGCACTCAGGCACCAGTGGAAGTGGCGCTAAATGGTAGGTCGCATATAAATTGACTCACACCAAAGTGTTGTTGTGCACAAGAAAAAAAACAAACGGCGAAAGTGCGCACCAAGCCGGGCAGGTCTGAGAAAAGTTAACAGCAACCATTAGCTTGGCATTGCTAAGGTTTCACTTACAGAGTGCCTAGAATATATTACGAGTGCTTGACTGTCACCAACAGATGCATTTGTTTTATTAAAGGTAAGCTGGTGTTCGTAGGTGTGTCATAAGTGGCTCAGTGCCGTTTGTATGCGGCACAAAGGCAATCGTGTTGTTCGCATTGTTGTTGTTTGTTTGTTTCTATTGTTATTGTTGTTGTTTGGGCACATTAAAGGACAATATTGACATGGTGCTTGAGAGGGATCTAAACACACATATGATATACATATGGTATATATATACATATATGTCAGTGGAAGAAACTATACGGACACATTTGAGCCCGCATATGTAAATACTTATCTGTACTTAAGTAGTATAATGATGTGTAAATATATATGCACCTTTAGAAACCTGTTGCAAGTGTTACATGTACAACATTGAATAAATAAGTACGCACTCTGGTGCGACCGCCAAAAAAGGGGTAGTGAAGACCTGCACAAACCAAAAATGCTATCATGCACCCGCATCACATAGTTAGTTAGTGGTATTCCAGAGTCTTTACGTAATTAAAAACTGAATAAGGTATTTTAAGTTTTGCACCTAATTTGTCCATCTGTCCGTCTGTCTGTATATACGTGATCAATCGCTCAGTTTTTGAGAAAACGATCTGAAATTTCGCACACGTCCTTTTCTACCTAAGAAGCAGCTCATTTTTCGGAAACGCCGATATCAGACCACTATAGCAGATAGTTGCCATACAAACTGAACGATCAAAATCTAGTTCTTGTATGGAAAACTTTTTTATTTGACAAAGTATCTCCACGGAATTTGGCATGGATTATTATCCAAAGCAATAATACAATATCCAAAAAAATTGTTCAGATCGGACTATTATAGCATATAGCTCTCATACAAACTGACTGACAAAAATCAAGTTTTTGTAAGAAAACTTAATTTTTCTAGGAATATTATAGCTTCGGTGCAGCCGTATTTAATGCTTTTTCTTGTTTTAATACCATTTGCGATCCCATAAGGAAAAATTTGGGAAATAGTAGGTTAGCTCTGAGCCATAATTACACCTAATGTGGTTTAACATGTTAAAAAAACTGTGGCCCAACTCACAGTCCTTGTTTTATTAAGAACCCTTGTAACTAACCCGAGCACAGAAACACTTATTTCTCCTTCTGAATGTCTAAAAAAAGTGACTGAAGTAGTAAATTGTCGAAAGAGATAATATTTCCCCCCTCACTGTGGCGCGCAATGTAGCAGAGAAAATCTGCAAAGCCGTCACTGGTTTCCAATTAAAGTCACACCTATTTATAGCGTACTACTTATGCATTGCGTTTTTAATTCTCACGCGTTGAAGGGCAAATAAAGCAAGCAAAGCGTAAAAGGAAAACCAAAGTCAGTTTTTCAACGACTTCGAGCAAGGCTTTGTCGCAGGCGAAATGTGAACGAAAGGCTGTGGACATGACACTGATATGCAATCGTATATTTTTTATGTATGTGTGCGTTTACGTGTATGTGTGTGTGTGTTTGCATTTGAAAGCATGTCGAATGGTGGCATGTGTTTTAGCACGTTTATTTATTCAAATATATTGTAACGACAGGAGGACCATATTCTGTGGACAGTGTAACCGCGTTTGGTAGCTAACTACATACGTCTGTATATAATATCTGTATTTATAATATGTACACATAGAGTGATGAAAGGAACAAATTGAAAAATAGCATATTCTTCCGTTATTGATTTTGGACATGACAATTAATTGCTTTGGCATAAATGGAAGCTTCAAAGGTAAATATGAAATGACAGCCAATTACATATAACAGTAGTTGAATGATTTATACGACATTTACAATGGACTTTAAGCACAAGTTTCACTTAACCTGGATTAAACTCGCATTTTTAACGCAAACG